AAAATATATATTCAATAGAAAATCCAGTGATTGTCTCGAAATCCTACTTATATGTAGTAAATTATTAATGCAATCGATTGCTGTAGCTAATACAACTTTTCTGCATCGAAAATATCACTACAGAATGTGATATGGGAAAGGCCTATTCTTCCTTAAAAGTCATCTCCGTTCATGATCCGAGAGCCTTCGTGGTAGTGTAGCGTAGTGGTTAATTGTTCGAAGTTGCAAACCTAAATACCAGCGTTCGAGTCCTGCTGGGGGCCCTGATGAGATATGAATACGGCCAAATCGGCAATCCATCATCAATAAGAAAATCTTGTAAAGCAAGTCCATGCAAAGTCCAATGCAAATATGAGGCCTATTCGTATAAGTATAAAATGCAAGTGAAGACCGTTAATTAGATTAAACTAAATTGAGTAAGTACAGCCTATATATAAGATACACTGGTAGTGTGGAAAAAAGAAAATCAGTTAAAAGTGTTAACTAATGCATAGAATCAGTAAATACCATTTTAATTCACCATATGAATAATATAGAAGTGATCTTTATATGATCAAGAGATTCAAATTAGTATGTAAATGAAATTCCTACAAATTTTATCTAAAGCATTTGTCATGCTAAAAGGATAAATATAGCATATCCTTTGCAATTGTAGTTGTGAAATTTGAATAATAATGAGGTAGCATTAAAAAGTGCCATGTAGTAAAAAAAAGTAATAAAAAGAGATTGAGGAAGATACAATCAAAGAAGGATTAGGAGTATCCAGAAACTTATTACGAAGTAAATAGATTGGAATATATACATTTCAAATTGTTCTTCAAATTACCCATACCTAAAATATAAAATATAAAATATATATAAAAATCAGAATAAAAATAAAATAGTAATTTTTTCTCAATAAACATTATATATGTATATATTTACAAGAGATAATAGTTTTACCAGTTCTACAAATTTGAAAAATTTTTAATACGTGAGGCAATACGAATTTATACATTTTAAATAAATTTGATGATGAGTTATAGTGATGAAGTAACTACCGAAATTCGTCAGGTATGGGCCATTTTGGAAGAATTTGCGCCATTAAATGATCAAGGAACCATTCCACACGGACTGCTACAACGTGCGGATCTTTAGCTAACTGAGTAAGATGAAAATCAGCAACAAGCTTGGAGTCCAAATTATTTGATACCTTCTGGAATACACGCCGACGTTTTCCTTTAAAAAAGCAGGGGTTATGAGAGCGCCTAAATTCGTCAATCTCTTCAGAAGTTGTAATAAATACGCAATGAGTAAGATTGCATCCCGACTAATAAAGAGTAAAAAAGAAATAAATATGTATAATAGACTACTCAGGCAATGAAGTCGACTATAAAAACAAGTTTGCGTCTAGATAGGACAATTAATAGCAATGGTAACAGACTAAAAGGCATTTTTTCGAACTTCTTTCTATTTGTTATAAACAAAGTGATGATATTGCAATATTGACAACTAAAATATTTAGCTTGTTCGTGACATTAAAATAAGGAGGTATAAAAGTATTCTCTTCTTTTGTATGATAAATAAGATTAGCTAATGAGGGATAAAATTTAAGAAACAAACTTATCGATCATAAAAAATCAGGATGCAACCTAAGATAGCATAAAAGACAAAGGCAATAGTAAAATAGTAGCAAGTTGGCGTAGATATAGT